CTCCCGCCTCCGCCCTCCGGGCCCCTGCTCTATGGGGCTGGCGAGGAGGGGCCGGGGTGGGCGGCTTCTCTTTCTTGCTCTCTGCTCTGAGCAGTTTTCCGTGAGTCCGCCTTTGAAGGGAGGGGGAGAGACAGACAGAAACATCGATGTGAGAGAGACACATCGATTGGTTGCCTCCTGCACGCACCCTGACCCGGGCCAGGAGCCTGCGCCGAGGTACCTGCCCTTGTCCGGAATCGAACCCGGGACCCTTCAGTCCGTAGGCCGACGCTCTATCCACTGAGCCGAACCGGCCAGGCCCGGCCCGGTGTTTGTCTTCTGTTATGTCCTCTGTCCTGTGCTCCTCCAGCTCCTGGGGTAACCAGGTCCTTGCAGTGACCATTTCACCTCTCGGCTGCCTTGTGGGCTTGTGGCTTTGCGTCCCTCTGTCGGTGGTTGTTCGGGGACTGCGCGTGCGTCCTCCCCATGTCCCCGTCCACCCTGAATTAACACCGCCCCCCTCCACGCCAGCACGGCCTCCCGGTGGCACATTCCCTTTGCCCGGCTCCCGTCCGCGCTCTTGTGTCATGCATGTCACCTGCACACACGTAGCACACGCTACAACACAGTGCGCTCGCTCTCACTGGATACGCCCTTTGTTGAAAGTCAAGAAGTGCAGGGCGGGGGGCTTCCACACACCCCACACGTCACCACCCCGTCCTGGTGCGGGTCCGCGTTCCCTTTCCGCCGAGAGAGCCTCCTTAGACGCTTCCTGTGGTGAACGCCGTGGTGACGCATCCTCCCGGCTCTCCTCTGTCTCAGCGTGTCGTGCGTTCACCTTCGTTCTTGAAGGGGTTCCCGCTGCAGCAGGAGCCGTGTGACAGCCTCTCGCCACTTGGACGGAGCGCCCTTCCCCGTCTAGCGGCTCTGCCCCTGCTCTCCTTCTTTCTCTTTCAGAAATTTAACTGTGATGCCTCAGGTGTGGTTCACTGTGTGTTTCTTCTTGGGTCTCGGATTCTTGGATTTGCAGGTTGATATTTTTCATCAGATTTTGAAATTCTTCTGCCATGTTTTCTCAGATATTCTTGTCCGCCTCCCCCTGTCTTTCTGGGACTCCAATTGTATGTGTGTTTGCATCCTCCTCCGTTTCTCCACTGTTTGTTTCCAGTCGTTTTCCCTCCCAACTCCCCCACCCCCAGCCCCCTCTTTGCTCCAGTTTGATCCTTTCTCATACCGGGTGTCCGCCCTGAAGTCACCGATGGAGCCCATCCTGATGGTCTCCAGTTCAGGCTTCCATCCGCTCCTTTCTCTTTTTAAAAAAATCAGTTTCCATTTCTCTGCTGAGATTTCTCCATCTGGTCACGCACGTTACCCGTCTCTTCCTTAAAGTCGTAAGCCTGTTTCCAGTCGCTGTATTAAAGTTCCCGCG